GGTTTATAAAAAATTTGACTACAGAAAGTATAAATTGAGGGAGATCAATTACAAATTCTTAATGATTTTCAAAAGTTTCTGGAAGATATTAACTGGCTATGGCCCACAATTGGATTAACTACTCAAGAGCTAAGTAATTTATTTCAAACCTCACAAGGATACGGACTTAAATAGTTCAAGAAAATTATCAGCTGAGGCTGAGAGTTCTAGTATTTAGGTATTACACTGGCCCACCCTTGGGGTCTTCAACTGTAGCCACTAAGAGAACTCCTTGTGTTTGTTAGTAATCAGGCACCTACACTGGCCAGCCCTAAGGATCCTGACATAATAAGTCATCAAGTCACATGCATATGTACCATACCCCCTTATAAAAAGCAGGACCCTCCCGTGTCTCTCTCTCTTTCCTGCTGCTCCCATTCCAGAGGTCTCTTCTGCCACCCTGTCCCGTCCCTTCCCTTCCCCTCGATGAACCTCCCACATGAGTTCTGTTGTATAGTTTTAAGTTCCTTCTCACTGCTGCACCACACTGCAAAACAACAACAGAGATAGAATTGGCTCTGTTAGAAAATAGATTACAGGATGTACATGTGGATCACTTGATCCAAAGTTTTATTGTACTTTATTTTACCTTCTACGCATTCTCCCATAGATCTTCTTATGAAGAGAGAAGATAATATGTTAGAATGGATATTTAGCACACAAACAGAGTAAAAAAAATTAAAGAGAAACATAGAATAGGTTTCTGAATTGATTCTGAAAGGAAAAAATTATTCCTGCTAATTCCAATTAGCAGGAATAGACACAATAGAAATTGTGGTACCTTCTACTAATGCTGAAATTGCCTATTATGGGCAGAAAATGAACATTGGTAAAGAGCTTGCATTAATTTTTTGGGAGGGATTAGCAACAAATATGGCAAAAGCAAAAGACTTCCATTATTAAAAGAATTAATTGGATTCTCCCTCATATAGTAAAAAGAGACACCAATTTCTGGAGCCCCTACTTTCTATACTGATGCAAATAAATCAGGAAAGGCGGGTTATAAGCCAGGAAAAATAAGCAAAGTGGCTCAAAGTCCTTATGATTCTGCTCAAATATTAGAGCTGTATGCCATTTTTATGGTATTATTAGATTTTTCTGAATCTCTTAATATAGTTACTGACTCTCAATATACAGAAAGAGTTGTTTTACATATTGAAACTGCTGAATTTGTTCCAGATAATTCAGAATTAATTTTGCTATTTAGCCAACTACATCAAATAATCAGAAACAGAAACCATCTATTATATATAACACATATTAGATCCCATATGCATCTATTTACCCATGGCTATGACAAACAAAGCTGCTATGAACATAGTTGAGCACATGTCCTTGTGGCATGATTGAGCATCCTTTGTATATACCCAAAAGCGGTATTACTGGGCCTTAAGGAAGGTTGTTTCCTAATTTTCTGAGAAATCGCCACACTGACATTCAAAGGGGTTGGACCAGCTTGCATTCCCACCAGCAATGCAGAAGTGTTCCCTTTCCCCACAACCTCTCCTGTATAAGTTGTCATAAGTGTTTTTGATCTTGGCCATTATTTCAGGTGTAAGATGGAATCTCAAAGTTGTTTTGTTTTGCATTTCTCTGATGACTAAGGATGTTGAACATTTCCTTAAATGTCTTTCAGTCATTTTAGATTCCTCTGTTGAGAGTTCTCTGTTTAGGTCTTTACTCCATTTTTTTTTATTGGATTATGTGTTTTTTGTTTGTTTGTTTTTCGAGACAGGGTTTCTCTGTAGCTTTGAAGCCTGTCCTGGAGCTAGCTCTTGTAGAACAGGCTGGCCTCAAACTCACAGAGATCTGCCTGCCTCTGCCTCCCGAGTGCTGGGATTAAAGGCATGCGCCACCACCACCAAGAGGATTATGTGTTCTTTTGGTGTCCAATTTCTTAAAGTCTTTGGATATTTTGGAGATCAAACCTCTGTCTGATGTGGGGTTAGTGAAGATCTTTTCCTATTCTGTAGGCTGTCGTTTTGTCTTGTTGACTGTGTCCTTTGCTTTACAGAAGATTTTCAGTTTCAGGAGGTCCCATTTATTAATTGTTTCTCTCACTGTTTCTCACAGTGGTTCCCTGTGCCAATGAGTTCAAGTGTATTTCCTACTTTCTCTTCTATAAGGTTCAGTGTGGCTGGCTTTATGTTGAGGTCTTTGATCCATTTGGACTTGAGTTTTGTGCATGGTGATAGATATGGGTCTGTTTTCATTCTTCTTCATGTTGATATCCAGTTATGTCAGCACCACTTGTTAAAAATGCTTTCTTTTTTCCATTTGATATTTTTTTGCTTCCTTGTTCAGGTGTTCGAAGATGTGTGGATTAATATCTGGGCCTTCTATTCAGTTCCATTGTTCCTCCTGCCTGTTCTTATGCCAATACCAGGCTGTTTTCAGTACTGTAGCTGTGTAGTAGAGTTTGAAGTCAGGGATTGTGATACCTCCAGAAGTTCTTTTATTGCCCAGGATTGTTTTGGCTATCCTGGGTTTTTTGCTTTTCCATATGAAGTTGAGTACCATTTTTTCGAGGTCTTTGAAGAATTTTTCTGGGATTTTGATGAGCATTGTGTCGAATCTGTGGCTTTACCAAGTTTAATGCAGATGAATTTGAAGACATGATAGTTGAGAACCAGCTATCCCTGATGGCTATGGGATCAAATAACTCCCCAATTATGATCCCCTGGGCAAGTGGTAGGCCCTGCAGTACTGATGGCTTCCACTGTGCTCTCCTACACCGCACCAAGTCACGTTCAGTAATAAATCTCACATCCAGTCAAAAAAAAATGAACATGAGACTTTAGGGAATGTTGTATTATTTTTTATTTTTATTTATTTTTGTGTGTGGGGGGGTGGTGATCAAGACAGGATTTTTCTGTGTAACAGATCAGGCTGTCCTGGAACTCACTCTGTAGACCAGGCTGACCTGGAACAGAGATCCCCCTGCCTCTGCCTCTTCAGTGTTGGGATTGAAGGCGTGTGCCGCCACCACCAGCCTGGTCTACATAGTGAGTTATAGAACAGTCAGGGCTACATAGAACATAGAAAACTCTGCCTCAAAAACAAACAAACAAAAAACCAAGAAAGAAAAGTGATGTATTTGACAGAACTTCAGTGGCACAACCAGTTAGTGGACAGTTCCTATAGAGAGGTTATAAACTGAGTGTCAGGAGTGGATCTGTGACAGCTGAACTTGTCATTTTTGCCTCATTTAGAGACCCCTAGAAAACAACACTTTGGGTGTGTCTGTGAGGCTGTTTTCTGGAGGTTGAACTGGTATGGGAAGCCCTCCCCTAAATGCAGGTGACACCATTCCCTGGGCTAGGGCACCCATACTTCATCTCTCTGCACCTCTGAACTGCAGACACAATGTGAGCAGTCACCCCACGCGTCTGCCTCTGTGCCTTTCCTGCCAGGATGTTTTGAACCCTGCCCCCAAAGTGTAAGCTAAAATAACCCCTTCCTGCCCTAAATTTCTTTTGTTAGGCATTTTGTCACAGCCTGGAGAAAACAACTAACAGACACTGGACCATACCAACCCAGCTCTTCGCCAGATCGATGCCTGGTGATGTGGTACAGTGCTTGCCTGGCATGCACCAAATGTTCAATTCCTAGTTGTTGTTGTTGAGCCCCTTAGAGAAGAGCACCCAATTAATTCTTATCTAGCATAGATACTAAACTACACTATATTTAGCACCACCCACCAGATTGGGTCCTAGTTTGCTTCCTATTGCTGAGACCAAAGCACTACTACTAAAATCAACGTGGGAAAGAAAGGGTTTATTCCATCTTCCAAGTTTCAAGTCACACTCTGTTATGGAGGAAAGCAGGGCAGGAACCTCAAGGCAGGAACTGAAGCAGAAGCCCCCGAGGAAAACTCTTTACTGACCAGCTCTCCACAGCTTGTTAACCCTGCCTTCATTTACAAAACAGGACCCCTGCCCAGGGGCAGTACTTTCCACAGGAGGCTGAGCCCTCCCACATCTATCCCAACCAAGAAAATGTCCCACAGACCAGCCTGCTGGTCAATCTGATGGAGGCATTTTCTCAACTGAGGTTCCCTCTCCGTAGATGACTCTAGCTAATGTCAGGCTGACAAAAATGGGAAATAAAGCAGGTACATACTCATTAATAAGTTCGTATTTAGAATCCCAGTAAATTAAATGGAGACTTGAAGCTAAGAGTTAATCACAACACTGTCAAGGTCAAGACGGGCAAGTCGTCCATTTGACACTTGAATTCAGAACGTCAGACGCGTTAGACAAAAGCTCTTCCAAGGAGCTACACTTGCCACAGCTCCTTTTTGTATCCCTCAAAGGGGGCATGAAACAGAACTTTCAAAGTCCGGTTTCCCTAGCGTTCCCAGGCATCTCTCATCTCCCGAACTCCCAACGTTTTCTGTTCTCTGGGAACTAGTTCTTCCCAACAGTTCTCTCGGGGGACACTGAAAGTGACTCGGCTGGTCTCCCGGCACCCACGACTACCCTCAGTCAAGGCGGAGTCAGTCCATCTGACGTAACCGACTGGCACCGCTCCTTCTCTCATGGTGTTTCCTCGGGGGCGCGGCTACCACCCTGCATCTCCTCCTTAGACATTAACCTTCCTGGTCATACCGTACGCCAATTCAACCCTGCCTGAGCAAGTCTTGTGCTCACCAGAGGGTCTAACAGAATACTTTATCTAAAAACACTGGACGACAAAACAATACAAAATTCGGTCCTGGGAGACTCTCCAAGCTTAGTGCTAATTACGAAGCGGCCCCGCCCTCCCAGCGTCGCCGAGGCTGTCTCACCATAAGCCCGCCCTCCCCGCTACTCTTTGAACCGGAAAACTTCTCGAGTTCTTACAATTAATGCCCAGTGCCTCCCTAGGTGCCTTTCCCAATTGGGAAAGTTTCACTTCCGGCTTCCGGCAAAATGGTTTAGTCTAGGCTACCTAGCCACGCCCCTTTCACGCTCCTTTCCACCACGAACCGGAAAAGATCGCGCAACCCCGCGTTCACAACCCGGAAGTAGATGCTTCTCACGGAAGCCGGCTTTGGCCCTGCGGCTCCTGCAGTCGCCGCGGAGAAATTGTTGGAGCTGGCAGCCTAGGAATGGTGAGACCTCGCGGTTCGTCTCCTAGTGTTCTGAGTAGAGTTGGGGGCAAAACGGAGTTTCACAATGTGCCTCGGGGCACAACCCCCCCAAGATTCGGGGCCCCGCCCCGGTATCTCCCCGAAAAATCTGCGCATGCGTGAGTCTGACCGAGCTAGAATCGGGCCTGCGGCGTTCCACGCATGCGCAAAGGTGGCATGCTTGAGGTGGGGTGAGACTTGGCCGGGAGTTGGTCCTGGTTCGCTGTCACCAGCCGGTGGGGCTCAGAGCCAGACTGCGAGCGCATCGCGGTTTATCGGTGCAGTACTGTGTGCTGCATAGCTGACTAAATTACCACTTCTCCCCAGAGTCCCTGAAACAGCCCTGGACTGACCCCTCACCTCGGGTGGGCTCTCGCGGGAGGGGCGTGGAGGGACGGGAAGGAGGGCAAAGACTGCCTCAGTTGCGTGTGGAACTGGGCACCTTCCCCCTCTCCGGCGGTGCCCGCGCTCCCCGGCGGTAACCTGCGGAGCTGGGCGAGGAGCGTCTTGACGGGCAGAGCCCGGAACTTTGCCCCGGGAGGCACCCGAGTCCCAGGGGCGGGGCCTGCAGACACCCCTCCAGGAAGTCTGTCCCAGAGTTTTCCTGGGGCTAGAGGCGGGTCTGCCTAGGCGGTGGGTATTCACACAGTTCCCAAACCACTTTTAATCTTCAGAACCCACTTACGTAGAAGCCTCAAATGGGAGGGGGAGAAAGGTGTAGTGAGACACCGGTATTCTGTCTACCCTCCCCGGCTGCGGCCGAGGAGGGGCTGGTGCTGCTGCTGTGAGTGGGCCATTGAAGAAAAAAGCGAGCGAAGAATCCCTTGACTCTCTCTTTTTGACTGTCAAGATGTTTGATTTAGGATTTGCTGGTAAAATTACAGGGGTCTCTGAACCTAATGCGTCTTTTTTCTTCAGCTTTTATCATGCTCCCCAAGGTCTCAATGACTTCCACATAGCTACTTAGATTTTTTTGTTTCTGTTATTTGAAGCAGGGTCTCACTAACCCTAGCTTGCTGAGTAGGCCGGACTGGCCTCAAACTCGGCAGGGATCCACCTGCCTCTGCTTTCTGGTACTGGGATTAAAGGCAGGAGCCATCACACCAGGTAATAGCTACTGGTCCTACTGGTCGTTAAGTGTAATTGGGAGTGACGCTTCACGCCTCTTCCCACTACATATGCCCCCCCCACCTCAGGATACAGGAAACATGAGCAAGTTCAGGAAGTGGGAAATAGGTTTGGCCCGTTAGAAACCTGAGCCTGAGGGAGCTTTATTTCTCCTTTGCAGACTCTCTACTCGACTTCTAAGCTCTCTTGGTCAGAATCCTTGGATGAGCGTGCGGGACCCTTCCTCCTAGCCCTGTGGTTTGGAGTCAGTGGCTTTGGGACAGAGAGAGGATGGACAAAGGTAGTATGAGGCCAGGCCAGCTCCCCAGGTGCTCGGGCACCAAGCATCTGCTGATTTTCCCCCCTGAGCCTTGCACAAGTGTCTTTTGGTTCTGGCTGGGCATTGCCACCTCCCCCTGGGCCAGCACCACCCATGCACCTCTTGGCAGAGCCACAATTGACTGACTTGCTGCTGAGCTGCTGCTCTTTGGCACGCTACATTTTGATGGCAGAGGGAGCAGTTATGCCCAGAGCCCTGTGTGTCGGCATCACCAGTCTGACCTGAGCACCATGTGCTGCACGACATGACACGTGGCACCGGGAGAACTGCCCAGCGTGGAAGGTCTGGGCCAGGTCTGAGCCCAGATGGGATCTGGATGGCCAAGGAAACCCCACCTTAGAAACTTCGAGCCTCAAGGAGGCAGGAAAGGGCTGAAGGGACTAGCAAGGGAGAGGCTGAAAAAGGGGGTCCCATGTGCAGAGGGTGCTTAGGAAGCCTGAGTTCACCATTTCTTTTTTTCTAGATTCCCAGGGGCTGCTAGATTCATCCCTGATGGCATCAGGCACTGCCAGCCGTTCAGAGGATGAAGAGTCACTGGCAGGACAGAAGCGAGCCTCCTCCCAGGCCCTGGGTACTATCCCTAAACGGAGAAGCTCTTCCAGGTAGCCGGGATCGGAGAGACTGGGAAGGGGAGGGCTTGTGAGATTAGCTACCACATGCTTTAACCTTTGCTGGGAATGTCCCTCTGAACCTGCCTTGCTTGGGTCCAGACAGAGCCGGCACTTTTCCTTTCCTTTCCCGCTGTTCCCTCCCTGTAGCATTCAGGACAGACAGAGGGGTTACCAGCCTCTGTGGAGGTTGCAGTCTCTAGCCGGTAGCCTCTCATCTCTGGACTCGCGTGTAGTCAGTCCCTGTGCACTGAGCCAGGTGCTGGTGGAAATGAAGACAGCTGGGCAGTTAGCTCCCACTGGGAGCCTGCTCTTTGGAGGCTGAATGGGCTAACCAGTGGCTAACAGTGCAGGGCTTCCTACAGGTTCATCAAAAGGAAAAAATTTGATGATGAGCTGGTAGAGAGCAGCCTGGCCAAGTCTTCTACCCGGGTGAAGGGGGCCAGTGGAGGAGAGTCAGGCCGCTGTTCAGGGAGCGAGCCCTCCTCTAGTGAGAAGAAGAAGGTAAGGAACTGGATCCAGCAAGGGGCCAGGAGTGCTGGAGTCTGTGTTTCCCCAGATAGAGGAAGCTGTGAGGGGACCAAGCTGCCCCGCCCCCACTCTAGGCCCCTCCCTCCTGTCTTTCCCTACTCCCTTTCTTGCTGCACTCCTCACTCTGCCAGTGCATCCTGTATCACATTCGGTGTGGGAGGCAGGGAGCATGTATCTATTCTTGGAGCAGACAGCTTGTTCCCAGCATTGCAGGGTGTAAAAATAACCCCCAGGTGGCATTGCTCTGGCCCCAGACAGTGTACCAGCAAGAGTAGTTCCCTGGTATCCTCCCCACCCACCCTCCATTCTCAACCCAAGGGTACCACGAGCAGAAAGAAGACCCCATCTGGTCAAGAATTATGCAGAAGTAATTTGGTGGGGGTGGGTATTGGAAAGCTGAGCTCTCAGCTTGGCTCCCTGGTGTTCCCTGAGCCTGCAGCTGTCACAGTTTGTGAAGCAGTAGGTCGGAAGCCCTAGCTTTTCTGCTACCAGCTTTGAGTTTATTGTGGTCCTGCCCTGTACCCAGGTATCGAAGGCCCCCAGCACACCTGTGCCACCCAGCCCTGCCCCAACCCCTGGACTCACTAAGCGTGTGAAGAAAAGCAAACAGCCACTTCAGGTGACGAAGGATCTGGGCCGATGGAAGCCTGCAGACGACCTCCTACTCATCAATGCTGTACTGCAGGTAGTTCACCCGCCAACCCCACACTAGCTCAGGAGGACCCTATGGCTTCCAAGGGAAGGATTCTTCCCATTGCTGAGACTGGAGCAAACTAGTCTGGGTCTTGCAGACCAATGACCTGACATCCGTCCACCTGGGTGTGAAGTTCAGCTGTCGTTTCACCCTTCGGGAAGTTCAAGAGCGTTGGTACGCCCTGCTCTACGACCCTGTCATCTCCAAGTAAGTGGGCTAGCTCCAGTAGAGGGGAGGTGCTGGGGCACCCAAATTTGGAACTGGGTATAGGAAAGCCAGATTCTATCAGGGCCCAAAGGAAGGGCTTGGGAGGCAGGTAGGGCCTTGTGTCCTCTGGGGTAATTGGGGACCTGCCAGGTTTACAGAGCAGCTCCTTCCTCTAGCTCTTTCTAGTCCCGGGTGGAGAGAAGCCACAGAGTCTGGCGGTAGAGAAGGTGGCATAGGAAACAAATGGCCACAAGTGCCAGGAGCCCCAGGTCCACCAGTATCACCTCTGAACTTTCCCACACTGGCCTCTCACAGATCCTTATATGAAGAGGGAACTGAGCCCCTTGCTCTCAGGAGGCAGAGGCAGGTGGGTCTCTGAGTTCAAGGCCAGCCTGGTCTACAGAGTGAGTTCCTGGGCGGCCAGGGCTACACAGTGAAACCCTGTCTTGAAAACAAATAAACAGGGGGCTGGAGAGATGGCTCAGAGGTTAAGAGCATTGCCTGCTCTTCCAAAGGTCCTGAGTTCAATTCCCAGCAACCACATGGTGGCTCACAACCATCTGTAATGGGGTCTGGTGCCCTCTTCTGGCCTGCAGGCATACACACAGACAGAATATTGTATACATAATAAATAAATAAATATTTTAAAAAAAAAAGAAAACAAATAAACAAACAAACAAAAAAGAAACTGAAACAAAAGAGTCCCAAGACCCTGCTAGGTTCAGAATTCTGAATAAGCTCACACACATAGGCAGCATACTCCTCAATCACTTAATGCAGTGTCCTCAGCTCGGTCTGATGCTGAGCGCCCATCCTCTCCTCCTTCACAGCCCTGCCACCCACTTAAGCTGTAGCCATAGCCCAGAGATGCCAGAAAACAGGTTGGCCTCAGCATGGGAAGAAGGGGACAGTAGGCAGTGATTAGTGAGTGCAGTGTTCGCCATGTACTGCGGAAGGGCTTAAAGGAGTTACAGCTTGTCCCAGTTCTTTCTTGTTTGCTGTTTTGAACCCAGGTCTTACTTTGTATACCTGCCTGATTTGGAGCTTTTCTATAGCCTAGACTGGCCTTGAACTTTGAACTATCCTCCTGCCTCCATCTTCTGCAGGCTGGAATTACAGGCGTGTGCCACCACACTGGGTTTTTAGAGAATATGACTTCCATTTAATGAGTTGCCTCTTCATTCACTGGACCATGCCCCGGTGCTGTGCTAAGCCTCAGGTTATTTCTACCAAGGACTTCTAGGCTTGGGTTCTCTAAGTCCCAAAGGTTTATAGGTTTGGGGGGAGTAGGAACCCCAGATTACTTGGCTCCCTTCTTTCAGCTCTGTCCTTCATCTCTTTCCATGCTCAGGCTGGCTTGCCAGGCCATGAGGCAATTGCACCCAGAAGCCATTGCAGCCATTCAGAGCAAGGCACTGTTCAGCAAGGCTGAAGAACAGTTGCTGAGCAAAGTAGGATCGGTAAGGTTGAGGACTGGGACAGAGTACAAGCTGGACCACCACCAGTGTGGGGAGCCCTATCTGCCCTATCTGTGGTCTGCACACGTGCAGATGAGCACATCTGCGGGGACCTTTGTGATGGATGGGTCTTGGGAGAAACCATTCCTGACCCCTCCCTGGTTGGCTGTTGCTTCTTCCAGTTCCTTGGGAGGGCTTGGGGACAAGATTGGGTTGGGAATGAGGAAACCCTGTTGTTGTCTCCAGACCAGCCAGCCCACCTTGGAAACCTTCCAGGACTTGCTACACAGACACCCTGATGCCTTCTACCTGGCTCGTACTGCCAAGGCTCTGCAGGCCCACTGGCAGCTCATGAAACAGTATTACCTCCTTGAGGATCAGACAGGTAACACCCAGGAACTGCAGTGTGAGCAGCCAGGTACTCAGGTAGGAGAGTTTGTGTGAAGTGCTCTGGGCACAGCTGCCTGCCAGTGCCCTGTAAAAGCCACTAATATCCTCTTCACCTCAGTTTGCAAAACAAAAACAAAAAACAGCAGCAACAAAACTTGCTTCCTTGTAGAGCTGGTAAGGCCTTTGGCGTCATGGAAAGGGAGACCAGCTCACCTAGTGTCTTGTGCCAAAAGTCCAAATAGCAATTACTGCTTCTTGTTTTAGGGTCTTGTTTTTTTCTTGACCTATCTTGCCATCACGAACGATACATTAGTATATTATTTATAGGTAGCATTAAAACTGGAGCAGCCTGGGAGTGTCCGTCTTTATTCCCTCTTCCTCGTGTCCTCAGAGATAATGACTGACTTAAAGTTGCCCTGTCAGCGTTCTGCATCCTCCCCCATTGCTTGTGTGAACCAGGGAGTGTGTGTTGTCAGGTAGTTTAGGCCTAGAACTCCCCAGTGGGACTTGATAGCTAGGCCCGCATCTGTTCTCTTCCCGAATGACTGGAGTGCTTTCTGCCACCCTCTTATCACTGAACTCCCTTCTCCGGCGAAGAAGTGCTAGGAAAGCCATCTGGTTAGGCTGCAGAAAGCCTGTAGGAGGACTGGTGACCCAGTCTCTGGTGTCTCTGGCTTAGGCACACTCTTCTTGCCCGAATCCACCGCTTGCTGTGTAGTGCGCCACACCATCATAGTTCTCCATACTAGGAAAGTGAAGCCCTTCACTGTGGATTCTCCTGCAGCTCTGCTTCCAAAAGATGGTCTCCTGCGCGAGGCCTGTAGAAAGTACAGCCATAGGTGTTAGTGGTCCAGTCTGTCTCACCTGTCACTGAATCTTCACAGAGAACATTTGCTAGGTGACATTTATTTTTATGGCTTTAAAGCCAGCTTGTCTTTGTTTTTGTTATTTTTTGGTTTTTCGAGACAGGATTTTTCCTTGTAGCCTTGGCTGTCCTGGAACTCGGTCTGTAGACCAAGTTAGTCTAGAACTCACAGAGATCCACCTGCCTCTGCCTACCAAGTGCTGGGATTAACAACTGTGCCACCACTGTTCAGCTTTCTGTCTGTCTGTCCATCCTTAATTTATGGGTCTTGGTTTTCTACAGCCCAGGCTGACCTCCTGCCTCCATCTCCCAAGAACTGGAATTCTAAGTTTGTGTCACCAGATTCTGCTTCTTTTGCCATTGTTTTGGAAGTCACTCTGTTGACTGAAAGCCTTATCTAAAGGTTATAGAATTTTTTTCCTCCAAGAGTCTTTATGTGGGAATTAGTTTCTCATTGCTTAGATCCCAGGGTCCCAAGGATCAGACGGTTTCCTTAGCTTAGCCAGCAGGTTAGTCACACATTAGTCATGGATTTCAGGTGGACCTGATGGAAGGCATTTGGTGGCAGTGACCAGAGAGCCTACTCCTCTGTCACCACAGTCCTCCGGAGTAGCCCTCCAACCCCCAAACTGATAGCTGCTGGCTGCCCTGCTGCGGAACGCCACTGCGGTCTTGGCACAGCTGGTCAGAAATCGCAAGTTCTTATGTTCTGGGCTCCTTGGTTTCTTCTCTTCTCACCAGAAACTTGAAAACTTTCATGAAACAGTATTTTTCCAGAACATAACCCTTCGGTTCTAATATTAATTCTCCTGCTCCGTTTCATCTTCTAACAGCAATAAAGCTAATTTCATGGCCCATAAGGAGGTCACCCCCACAGGCTGAAGTGGAAGCAGTTCTGCAGGCCTGTGCTTTCCAGTGGTGCACGCCTCTTAGGGCGGCCGGAAGGCTGGGGAGTGCATTAGGGCCTGACTGTGCCCAGCGTCTGCCCTCTGCTGTCCCTCGTATACAGGGGAGCTGAGCAGTCCTCCCCTGGTCTCTGTCCCTGCACATGTTCAGGGAGCTGAGCAGTCCTCTCATGCTTAGTATGAGATGTCACAGGTGAGCGTGTCATGCACCACAAGCCCATGCAGGGCAGCTGTAGTTCCCTCGTCTTGAACCACCTCTGTCCCAAGTTCAGTGGCAGAACGCATTGTGTGAAGTCAGAGTGCCGCTGACTTGGGACAGTGCGCCCTCCGGCTCTGGCTCCAGAAGGCTGTTCTTGCACCCTGGCTACTCAACTCACCTGGCTTGGGCAGCCGGGGCTGGAGCGGAAGCCTCAACATTTAACACTGCCTCTGTTGTTTGTTCAGTGCAGCCACTGCCTAAGGGGGACCAAGTGCTAAACTTCTCTGATGCAGAGGACCTGATTGACGACAGTAAGCTCAAGTGAGTTCCTGGAGAGGGTTGACTCCAATTTGTCGGGCACACCGGGCTGCCCAGCAGACGTAGCTTCAGTTGCAGCTGCTGGGCATAGCCTCCCTGTTGCACCCTCTCCTATGGGGGCCGCTTAAGCTCACTGCCTTCCCTTTCCCCACCTAGTCCCAGGGCTAGGCTAGGCCTTAAACAACTTTCTGAGCCCCTTGGCTGAAGAGCCTGGGGTGCCCTAGTGGGCCAGGTACCGGGGCCTAATAGTCGGCCTGATTCACCCTTTTCACCACTCAGGGACATGCGAGATGAAGTCCTGGAGCATGGTAAGCCTGCCCTCTTGGGGACAGTGGGGGTGGGAGCTCTTGCTGAACTGGAGGGGACCAATTCAAGGTGCTAGTGGCATCAGAGTGTCCCTTCTTAACGCTTCACCTCACCTCAGAGCTGACAGTGGCTGACCGGCGGCAGAAACGAGAGATCCGGCAGCTGGAACAGGAACTGCATAAGTGGCAGGTGCTTGTGGACAGCATCACAGGTGAGACCGGGAGACCAGAGAGCATCCTCTGTGGCATCTGTCCCATCGAGCCCCTTTTCTTGCCCTATCTGGGTATGCTGTTTACCTGCCCAGTCCCTGTCTTCCCCACCCTGGTGCAGGGCTGGGAATTTCCTACTTGCTTACCCTGCTCTTCCTCAGGCATGAGCTCTCCAGACTTCGACAACCAGACCCTGGCCGTGTTGCGGGGCCGCATGGTGCGATACCTAATGCGTTCTCGTGAGGTAGGACAGGCTGTCACTGTTCCCGCCCTGCCTGGGCACCCGTCCTTGTTGTCCCTTACTCTGCCCAGTCCTTGTTTTCTCATTGTTCCCTGGCCTGTGTGGGGCTCCTTTCCCTCAATCCCTGTCCCAGCCCTCACCTCCACCATTTTCCCAGATCACCCTGGGCAGAGCAACCAAGGACAACCAGATCGATGTGGACCTGTCTCTAGAAGGTCCAGCCTGGAAGATCTCCCGCAAGCAAGGTATACCCTCCTGCCACTCCAGCGGCCTCTCACTGGACTTTCCAGCCATGGGCCGTGTGCCTCAAGAGCCCTCATGGGCCAATGAGGCAGGCCAAGGGAAATGGTGCCTTCTCTATCTAGGGGGTCTAAAGCACCTTCAAGCCGTCTTCCCCAGGAAGCAGAAAGGCGCTCAACTCTCTTCCGGGTTGTCTCCCTTGTCATTTATTTTCCTTTCTGCCTCAACAGGTGTCATCAAGCTGAAAAACAATGGTGACTTCTTCATTGCCAATGAGGGCCGGCGGCCCATCTATATTGATGGCCGGCCTGTGCTGTGTGGTTCCAAGTGGAGGCTTAGCAACAACTCTGTGGTGGAGGTGAGTTGGGGACAGAGCATGCCAGGGTATGTCACGTAGTGCTTGACAAACTAGTTCGTGGATGTCCTGTTCCACCTCTGTACTGAGCCGTCTTTCCTGCCCAGATCGCCAGCCTGAGATTTGTCTTCCTCATCAACCAGGACCTCATTGCCCTCATCCGGGCCGAGGCTGCCAAGATCACACCACAGTGAGGCGGGTAGCAGAAACCAGGGCATCCTCTAGCCTCAGTTTCCCCTGTCATTCCAGCTCCCTTGAGCTGGGAACTCAGGCTCCTGGAAAACCCTTCTACCCAGAGTGGGTAGTGGAGGCCCAACTGCTGGCCCATTGATTTGAGCCTTTGAGGCAAGGTGGGATCACCATGGGGAAGCAAGGAGAGGCTGGGACCCCTGAGCCTCCCCAGAGCCAGAGCCCCCATCATTGCCACATCACTCCTGTGTCTCCAGTGGGTCAGCTTTAGACTCTTCTTTTTTGTTTTTCTTTTTGTAAATAAAAAGCACCAAGTTCCAAAGTAGTTTCTTTTATTTTTTGTTGTTTTTTTTTTTAATATAAAAACCATGAGGACAGGTGGAGATGGGCACATGCAAGGAATGGCAGAACCCCTCCTTGAACTCAGGCCTCTGCCCCCATCTGTTGGAGGGGGGACAAGCAGGTCAGTGGAGCAGAACCTGTGGACCCCTAGTCTGGGGCCTGCCTGAGGCTCCAGCTCACCCTCTGAGGCTAGGCTAAGCCTCTTCCTTTATCGGGCTCCCTGCCCTGGGCCAGCGGGCAGCGCACAGCTATGCGCCTAGGCAGAGCAGCAGGTGGCAGGTGTTTGTAGTACTGACCTCCAGCCAGCAGTCAGACCCCTGTGCCTTCTTCCTGGGTCCACTGGACTGTGCCAGGACCGTGGCAGCCGATGAGCACCATCTCTAGGCTGTGAGGATCCCAGGGCAAGGCCCGGCTCCCTGACCCAGGAGGGGGCTCTCCAGTACTGGTAGCCTCAGCCTGGCTCACAGGTGCTGGGGTCCCAGTCCTAGCCTCTTCCTCAGGAGGGGGTGATGCTGGGGTGCTTGGCTCAGAGCAGAGGTCTCCAGAACCAAGGGGCTCCGAGTCTGAGGTGGAGGTCCATAAAGCTGTGGCTCGAGGCCAAGGGGAGCTCTGAGATGCTGGGGGGCCCCAGGGCCAGGGTGCCATAAGGGGAGGGGGATGCCCTGGACGAGGGTGAGGCCAGGTTCCACTCAAGACAGATCCTGCTGGGGGTTGTAGGCAATAGGAGGATGCCCCAGTGTCCACACGCAGGGGCTGTAAGAGCCCAGAGGCAGTGGCTGGGCACGGCCCCTCTCCTGATACCTGAGGACACTGGCCTTCCCCTTGGGGCACCAGGATGAGGTGCACAGCCTGGCGAAGTGACTGCAGCCCCTCTCGCATCTGCAGCACCTGTTCGGACAACTCCATCACCTTGAGGGGGAAGAGGTCACAAGGTCAGTAGGCCAGCCATCTCAGCAGAGCCTGGTCGTCCCTCCCTGCTCCCATCTCATCCACCCACCGCCTGCCGCAGCTTGTCCAATGTGTCTGTGCTCCTTGCCTCACTGGGCCCCAAGGGGACGGTGAGCAGGCCACTCTCTGTGGAAAAGATGGGGTTATCAGCCAGAGCTGCTAAAAGACAGACAGTTTAGGATCCAGGCCCAGCCTTCTTAACCACTGACCTGGCTCACCCAGCTCCCTTCTGGGCTTAGTCAAGTTGTTAAGTTTTGCCTAAATTATCAGCAGCATGAAAACCCCTCCCAGCAGCCCTGAGTAACGCTGTCCAGTGTTCTCCTCCCTGCAGGAAGTTGTCCCTCCATGGGCATGAGATAGTCTCATAGCCCATGGTACTCTTAGATCTCCTGAATAGCCAAGGCTTGTCTTGAGCTCTGTCTGCCGCCACCTCCCTGGCATTATGCTGACATTATGGACATATGCCACCATGTCTGTCTAGCTGGAAGTTGTTCCTTGCATCTACCCCTCATTCTGTCCTAGAGGATGCACTGTCACTCTGTCCACTTCCAGGCTGCCTCTTTCCAGCCCTCTCTCCCATAAGGGCATTAGGAACATTCTCTGATTAACATGCACAACAACCCATTTTATAGACGGGAAGCTGGATCAAGATGCTGAGTTTATACTGTTAAAAAGCCGACAGGGCAGGCACCCAAGTCTGCATCCCAGTCCTCACCAACAGCCTGCAGGGGCGTCCAGGCAGGCTGCCCCTCCAGTTCCTCTAACACCAGGCGCTGACACCACAGTGCTTGATCTCTATGAGGAAAATGGGGTGCCCACCCACACTCTCTGTCCCCCAGCCCAGTACCTGGTCCTGGAGAGGGGCTGCTGCTACATTCTGGGCCAGACTGACCCACTCGGAAAGAGAACTTGTGCTGGTCAGAGCCACAGCCATCCTCAATGCCATCTACGACCCTGTGGATCCAACAACAAATCAGACAATGGGCAGCCACTGTGGTGTTGGGATGGGATGTTCCAGTGTTTACATGTGTCAGCTGCAGAAGCTCAGGCCTAGCTGGGGACCTGGACATCCTAAGAACATGGTCCCCTTTGCTAGGCGCTTGCATTTTAGTTGAAGAGTAGATTGGAGTAACAAAACAGCCAGAGTTAAGGGTCAGCTACCTACTAACAGGTAGAGGCTTTGCAGGCATTAGGAAAGGCTTCTTGGAGGAGGCAGGCTTGGTCCATGACGGCTGGATGGATGCCTCTGAAGTTAAAAGCCTGTTTCATTCTCGCAGAGAACTCACATAGAACAGCTCACAATCACCTGTCACTCCAGTTCCAGGGAACCCAGCACCCTCTTCTGGCCTCTGTGGGTACATGCACTCATGTGCATAGTTCCCTGCCTGCCCCACACCCCCACATTTAAAAATAAAATCTTGGCCAGGTGGGAATGGTGCACACCTTTAATCCTAGCATTTGAGAGGCAGAGGCAGGTGGATCTCAGAGAGCTCAAGGCCAGTCTGGTCTACAAAACGAGTTCTAGGACAGCCAGGACTGTTAACACAGAGAAACCCTGTCTCAAAAAAAAAAAAACCAAAATAAATAAATAGATAATAAATAAAATCTTTTCTTAAATGTGAAAATATGAAACAAAGCATAGTGCACATAATGTAATCCCAGCACTCAGGAGACAGAAGCAGGAGGGTCACTCGGTGGAGAACAACCTGGGTCACATAGTCTCAAAAATAAAAATGGCTAACACTCAGGGCAGGGTATGCCTAACTGTACCTCCATCCTATCACCACAATCTTGCCATGAAGTCCAGGGCCTGCTCACCTGGGACTCAGGTCTGGGGGTACATTCCATGGCATGGAGGGCAGCCGTAGCCCGTCTAGGGTCCTTGGATGAGCAGAGGGGCCAGCCTCAGGCTTCAAAACCCCTGTCCTACTTGGCCGCCCTCTGCCTCCTAGACGTGGTCGGGGTGCAGTTCGACGTGGGGATAGGAGTTTGGCAGCTGAGGAGGAGGAGGTACAGCCGGGTGACAGCAGAGGACTGGAGGGCTCATCTGCAGGGGCCGGTGAGACTGTGTGTCCCTGTTCCCCGTCCGTCTCCTTCTCCTCCAGGGTGGACATGAGGGTATTGTCACCACTCAGGGAGCTGGTGTCCACCTGCGGACAGAGGGGGTGGGGTTCAAGATGGATGGCCACTGCTGTGCTTCTCTCCCTCCCCACAAAGAGGAAAAGGCCCTGGTAGAAGTAACCTGCACCACTGTTCATGACGAAATCGCCAAGCCCTGGAGGAAATCTTCCTCCAGATCCCACCCAAGTGTGGCTGTAACACCCTCTACTTGGTCCTCCTGACTAACGGGACTATACAGTGTGTGCTAGTGAGCATCCAGGAGACCCCAAGGCCTCTGTGCTGAATCAAACGAGAGATGGCCCCCACAGTCTCAGGCGTTTGAATATTTGGTCGCCAGTTGCGGGCACCTTTGGCGAGGTTTAAGAGGTGTGGCTGTGCTGGATGAAGGTAAGTGGGCTTTGAGAGAAGAGCAGTCTCTACCCCCTTCTGCTTCACTCTCTCCACTCACTGCCTGTGGTAAAGGATGTGAGCCCTCAGCTTCCCACCGCCGTGCCAGCTGCCGACTCCTCCATCCCTTTGGACCCGTGAGCCCAGATAAACCCTTCCTTCTGTAAGTTGTGCTGGTCATGTTTTATCAGCAGGAAAGTAACTATCCACCTCAGAACATGTTATTTGATGATGAAGAGGCAAGGGCCTCCACAGGGCTCTGTTCAGAAGCAGCCCCCAGGGCTGACGCCAGTCTGACCACCCCTCCAGCTGCAGCTCACAGGGTTCTGCAGGTTAGAACTGCATGTGGCTCTGGGAGACCAAAGCTGGACTGGCTTGTTTTTCTGAGACGGGTAGCCCTGACTGTCCTGACCTACATTGACCACGTTGGCTTTGATCTCACAGAGATTCACCCATCTCTGCCTCCTGAGTGCTGGAATTAAAGAAATGTGCTACCTTGCCCTGGCTTGGACTGACTTCTAAAACTGTTGGTAGCTGTGGTGGTGGCGCACGCCTTTAATCCCAGCACCTGGGAAGCGGAGACAGGCGGAGCTCTGTGAGTTCAAGACCAGCCTGGTTTACAGAGCGAATTCCAGGGCAGCTAGGACTACACAGAGAAACCCTTTGTCTGGAAACAAACAGAAAAAGAAAAAGAAAGGGCTGAGTGGATTTCTGCCCTGAGGGGTGTGTGTGTGTGTGTGTGTGTGTACCCTCTTTACTCCCCCAACTTTGTTCACTTCATCTGCTCCCTGGCACCCCAGCCCCTCCATACACATACCCAGCACCCTTACCTCTGCAGAGACACCTCCAGCCCCCAGGTTGTAGCTGAGCTCTCCACGGAGGCCACGGCTAAAGCGTGGGGCGAACTCAGGGTACAGGGCCAGGCTTTCATGCAGCCCAGCCAGCTGCAGACACTGCAGGACACAGTATGTCAGCCCCTTCACATCCGCATTGGCCTTCACTACCTGCTCCCGCTGGGGTAGTTCACAGCCGATCAGATCACCCTTCCCTGAGGAGAGGAGGAGAGGAAGTCAAGGGTAGCAAGTCACTAGGGGAGGGGGGATGAGCTGTAGACCAAGCACAAGGGCCTGGCTGTGGTGGGATGCCCAGGTCGCGCTGGTCACACGCACGCACACACACACACACACACACACACACACACACACACACAGTGAAGAACAGTGGGACCCAGACTCAAGCACAAGGGCCTGGCTGTGGTGGGATGCCCAGGTCGCGCTGGTCACACGCGCATACACACACACACACACACACACACACACACACACACAGAGTGAAGAACAGCGAGACCCAGGCTCTCAAGCACTTCCAATGGTTGAAACCTCTGCATCTAAGCAGGATGTCATCAGTTCCTGTGGTTCGCAGACAGGCAGTTAATTAGACTCCCCTGGGGAAATTAAACCAATCAGACTGCCGGGCCCTGGCCCGACCTTTACTTTTACAATCTGATTTTCTTACAGGCCCACAGGT